TCTTTCATAGCCTGGCTTAATTCACTCAGCAATAGATCCTCCATATCTGACCACTTTCTATCAAATTCCAGGGTCTTGTTGTTTTTTATGGCTGAGTAGTATTCCATAGAGTATATATACCACACTTTTCCAATCCATTCATCGGTTTGTGGACATTTAGGTTGGTTCCATGTCTTGGCAATTGTGAATAATGCTGCAATAAACATGGATGTGCAAGCACTTTTCTGACTGAGCGTTCTCCTGTCTTTTGGGTAAATACCCAGAAGTGGGATTGCTGGATCAAATGGTAGTTCTCTTTGTAGATCTTTGAGGAACCTCCATATTGTTCTCCACAGTGGTTGAACTAGTTTACATTCCCACCAACAGTGTAGGAGGGTCCCATTTGGATTTTTTTTTAAAAAGTTTTTTGACATAGGGTGTGCGTGCTGGCCAGAGAGACAGTAAAAGAGAAAGGGACAAATCACCCCCTGTGAGAGGACAACCACCCCACAATCCCTTCTCTATTATCCTCCTGGGATTTTGGGAATGCTCAAATGTACCTGGAATGAGTTTCAAGTCACTGGGTCCTGGGACTCAGACCAGGGTCAGCCATGTGGAAATCCAGTGCCTTTAACCACCAAGCCACCTGCTGGTCCCTCCCCATTTGTAATTTAAAGCACAGTACTGGCTATCTGTGAGAGGGCCTCCCACCTATGTAAGGCACTTTGTTCACAGGATATTATTTATACCTTCCCTGCAGTCTTTGAACTCAGTGTTATTTTTCAAGATTTCATAGGTAGTGAAACTGAGTCACATCAACAACTCAGTTCACATATTTAGTGACTTGGATGTGAAATTAAGACCAGGATGTGAAATTAAGATTTAAGTCCATGTCTAACTGATTACACACATTATATTTTTTAAAGTTTATATATTTATTGAGAGAGTCAAAGAAAAAGAGAGAGAGAGAGAGTAGAGAGAGAGTGAGAGAGATAAAGACAAGGCCCTCAACAGGGTCTTATGCTACAGATCTCCTCCAACCTTATCATGGGCATGTGTGTAGCCAGTATGTGCAAGTCAACCTGGAAATAGAACCCTGATCTCCCCACTCCCAAGTTTCTTTCTTTCTTTCTTTGAGTGAGTGAGAGACAGAGAGACAGAGCAACCACACCCTAGAGAGGGTCCTGACACTGCAAACTACCCCTAGTCTCAGCCAGACCCATATCATGGGCACACACTTGTCTGGTGTACCCAGGAAAGTCTCCAGATGCAAACCGGAAGTCTCTCATGTGAGTCAGCCTCCTAGAGCATCATGTGTTTCCACTGAGCAAACACCTGGCCCCTGAATTCCAGTCCTCCATATGGCTTCCAACATTGTAGAGCTTTATGCTACCACTGAGCCAACGTGACTAAGACAGACTATACGTTTAACTGAATTACGTAGTCTAAAGAGATGTTTTTCTTCATTTTGGGAAACCAGTTTTTAGAAATAAGTAATATTCAGTTCAAGTTAATCTTAGAACACTGAAAAATGTGAAGGGAACCATGTAAAATGTGATTTATTCTTTAATTCTCCTGAGTGGCCACTGTCAGGCTACAAGAAATGGGGTCCCAGTTCTTCTAATTATAAAATAGAGGGAAAAGATCACAGATAAGTTAACTTCTTGCTCTAATAAGTTAGTCTGACTGACAAACTGACTCTCTAAGAGTTGCTTAAGTGTAGAAAGTGAAAT